TAAAAAGCAAGAATAAGATAAAAAATACACTAGTAAAAAATAATAAAATAACTCATCTAAGAACTTCAGAGAAATCAATATAGTATATTTCTGCTCATAGTAGAATTATATATATATATATATATACACACACACATACTAGCAGCATGGCCTGGCGTTGCCCGTGCTTGATTCAAAAATCATACGACTCATACAGCAATCGCTATCACTTGAGTTAAAATATTTTTGTCCTTCCTTGCCTTTAAAGGAGTGCCCTTTGCCATGCTGATGTTGCTACATGCCTTACTTCTTGCCTATCTCGCACTGCAAATTTTTTCTAAGCCCTATACTAAACATTAAATCTGTTACGAAAAAAGAACTAAACAAAATGAACACAAAATGATCAGCTTTAAAAAAGGACTCGTAACTGGAAAAACCGAATGAAAAAAGAATGTTAACAATAAATACTTTTTCACACCCAAGCCAGTTCAGCGGAATCAGAATCAACGTTGAGTTTAAGTAAGCGAATGAGCCAATTGGAGTAAAGTGCCATACAGATTTCAATTTTTCGCACTTGTGACGAATGCAGCTATTGATTTTTTTTGCATGCTAGTTAACATTCATGTCAGTCAGCTGTTAGCTCTCACTCTGGCCAGTACAAAATGTCCACAAACTACATGAAAACTGCCATAGAAGCATGAAAAAATTGATTATTTCCACTAATGATGGGAGTTGGGAAATGCAAAGTCAGTCTTAGCCTTCCCGCTAATTTGGAGCATGTGCATGTAAATTTTGGTGCAAATCCGTCGAAAATTGCAGCCATGCATTCGTTACACACACACACACATCCTGCCTTATATATATATATATATATATATATATATATATATATATATATATATATATTTATCACTAATTAAATTATGATATTTTTTAATGACATGTCCCTTTATGACATAGGCAATCATGCCTCCACATTTTCCTTTGTAGCAAAAAAAAAAAAAACAATTTACTCATAGTTAGAAATAACAAATTAAAGCGAAATTTATGCAATTAATAGAAAACATATCTCTAACTACACACCAATTTTTATCAAGCAAAGTCACACACATACCACACTCTACTCAAAACAAATTTTAAAACAAACACAAATATACCAGAGTGCTGGCCATTATTGATGCAACTCTCGCTTGTTATAGATGTATATTTCCCTTATATAGGTTATAACAGAAGCTGTTCAGTGGAGAGAGAAGAGAGAGAGACTTCACATACACATGCTAACCACAGAGGCTATCTGAGAACACAGCTGATGTCTTGTCCAATCATTAAGCTGTGAAAACAACCTTCTAAGAAGATAGAGAGAGAACAGACTCCACTATCAATGCAACAAACCCAAACCAATAGCCAACAAAATTTCAACCAGGTTAAACATACTCCTTTTTCACACTCTTATTTCACATCTTGTGCATCATACATTCAAATGATACACTATACAACTTACCAGAGACATTTTCATATCTCGTAAATGAAAATAAATATTTGGTTATTTCTCCAAATCATTGTCTAATTTGTTTCTTTACTCCAACCAACTTCCACCTCAGATCACCTTTAATATATGTGAATTGCCATGATTTCTTGAAGAAAATAGTAGAATGGTTTCTTATTGCTTTGGAATTCAGAGAGTTTATTCTCTTAAATTGGCTGCCACCTAAGGCTAGAGAGCCCAGTCACCTCTACTATTTAACCCATAGATGAGAGGGAAGTAGCCTATTGGAGCCTAACCATCTTCAAATTGGTTTAGAATTCAGAATTGTCCTTATCCTAGACTGATTCTCCTGCCCAGTCTACCCTATGATTTAACTGATAGCTGGCAGAAGATAGATTCATACCTTCTCCAAGGACATTAGTGTAAAGTAAATGAAGCAGGTTCACTCAGAATTTACATGCTGATTCCACTTACCATGTCTGTAACTGGTACACTATAATGTTAAATAACTGACTTATCAGCTAATGTGGCTGAACTGATTAAAAAAGTAGACTAAAATGAGACTGGTGAGATGTACACTGTTATTTAAATACTGCAAAGCAACAGTCTTAGCACAGCTACACAAAGCAATAGTAATACAACAAAACTCATCAGAAATTAATAGATTCACAAGAATCTACCAGATATATTTATAAGTCTATCATTCATCCATACTTTGAATAGTATTGCCACATCTGGTCTGGTGCTTCTTCTATTTATTTGGAGATTCTTGACAAAATGCAAAGAAGAATCTGAAATGTTATAACAAACCCAACTGAAATTGGAACTCAGCTCTTTGATTTCAAATTCCAAGCCATTATCTATTACACCAACCACATATCCAAACTTACAACACTTGGTGGATAAAGACAATGTTTAACTATGAACAAAAGTGTAGATGAAACCAATATTTATTTATCAACATGAGTATATTGACATTAAATAACAACAAAGGTTTACATTGTAAAATATACCAACACAACCCTGTTGATTTATCTTCAATAAATAACAGATTTGAACAGCAAATAACCAAACAAGGGCTGATATATTGTAAAATCCAATAACCCAACCCAGTAGACTTATCTTGAATAAATAACAAATTTGAACATTAAATAACCCAACAAAGGCTGATATGTTGTAAAATCTACTAACCCAATGTACTTATTGTCAGGAGACAAGGTGCAAGACTTTGCCCACCAGGCACATTACAGTTCGAAACTGAAAGAAAGTAGAAATCAGTAAAAAATAGTTGGACTTAGTGGAATGGAGGTGATGATAGAATATGAAGATGAAAGTGACAAACTAACTTTCAGTATCTGTCTATATTTCTGAGATGAGGTATTATGTGCACTATTTACATTATTCGGACTATTGTCCTCATCTTTGTCGCCATATTTATCACAACGTTTCGGTCATTGTACACTCTGGCCTTCTTCAGGTGGTTGGAATGTCTGACTGAACCCTTTATTTTGCTTGCTGGGGTAGGCTGTTCTAGTTCCACGTGCCATGTCTAATGGATGTCAGTTATCAGTTATCACCTGTTAATTCCCCTCTCCAAGTTCTCCACCACCTTAACCAGGTATTGAACTCACACTCTTTGGGTCCTGTCTGTAAACTAACTTTTTGTTTGTTTATTGTTGCAATGTCTTGTAGGGCATATTAACCCATTAATGCTAACTGCCTCCCCAAATTGGTGAGAATAAATGGCTTATAGATAGAAATCTATCTATAATAAATACCACAACTAGTGGTTGAATTGAAGTGGATTCATGCCTTTCCAAAACACATTAGTGCAAAGTGAACACAAACAGCCCAAGCTCGAATTGTTCACCAATTCCACTCTCTGTACTTTTAACTGTTAGGCCACCAGCATCCCAGCTTATTTGAAGACTTCCAAAAAGATCAGAAATAGAAATTATAACCCCCTCCAGACAAAATTACTAAATTCAGAAAGAATAATAAGTAGACTGCTGAAGTATTGAGAAAAAAATCCTATCACTTGACCTCCATTATACAGTCACCAGATACAACTGGAATGAAAATCACATAAGTGTAAAATAACCCCTTCCCTAGATTCTAACTATTCAACATAAATTCTTCTAATGATAAAAGAGTGAACAGTAAGAGAGATATTCTACAAGTTTAATTATGACCTCAGGAGATTAGTTCAACAATATAAGAAATTGATAATTACAAGACAGTCTTGGTAAAAGCAGGTTCAAAGAAACATCTCAAAAGAAATATTCTGCCAAAATATACATTTCTATGTGTATTTGTTTTATAATATACATGTATGTATATATGACACCAATGCATTCCTAGAGAAGAGAAAATAAACTAAAATAGTCAATGATGAAAATTTTTCAGAACAATAACCAAACTTTTATTTCACAGGAAACAAAATGAGAATTGATTCTGGGTAAATAGTTGTTTCTTTTTGATGTTTGAAATGAATTTAATGCATGTGAAGCATTTTAAAAAGATATGAAAGAGTTTTTAAAGAATAATACACAATATAGAAAAACTTAAAAGACTGGCATTAATTTTGCTTTTTCACAAGAGAAAAAAATGATTGTTTCTGAAAAAATATTACACTATTCTTCAAAGAACACATTTCTGTGGTTAATAATTAGTTGAGGAAGAGAGAAATGGGGAGAAGTGTGGGAATAACAAGAGGTGGAGGAATGAAAGAATAAAAATGAGAAAGTGGATAATTTAAGGAAGGAGAGAAAGAATGAAAAAGAGTGGTGGGTGTAGGAAGAGAAAAAAAGGAGGTGGAGGAGTAGAAAAAGGAAGAGTATGAGAGAAAACAGAAGAGGTAGAGGTATGAGGAATAAAAGATAGGGAAAGAAAAGGGTTAGAGGAGGAGAAGAAAAGAGGCAAAGGAGGAGAAGAAAAGAGGCAGAGGATAGGAGACAAGATGTAGATTGATTTGTTTTCTATGGCTTATTAACCCTTTTCAGATTATTTAAAGCCAGAAAATATTTTTACATTGTAAGAATTTTGTGGGAGGCACAGTGGAGTAATGGATAGTGCCTCTGATTGAGGAACTGGAGAGCCGAGTTCGAATTCCAGTCAAATCCATTACATTCACTTTTGTGCTAATACCCTTGAGAAAGGTATGAATCCTCTTCTCCTCAACTCAGCTATGGATAAATAGAAAGACAGACTGAGTTCTATAGCCTTGGATGGCAACTTGTCTACCGCAGAAAGAAATGGCAACCTACTGTGGGAAAAAATCTGCCTCGTCAGACATGTATCAAAAGATACATAATTGCCTAAGTGTGCATTACGCATGGCACATAACTGACTGAAAAATTTTTGGGGAGATAATTTTTTAGTGATACAAGTCCTACTAATTAATCCATAGCTGGGGGATAAGAGATGGCTTCATACATTTCCCAAAGTTATCTGCATGTAAGTGAATATAACAAACCTGACAGGAATTGGAACTTAGCTCTTCAATTAAAAACATTACACTATAGGCACATCCAAGCTTACAGCATCATGTATTCCCAAGTGGTCACCCATCTAGGTACTAACCAGGCTCAAAATTGCTTAACTTCAGTGATTGTACCAGAAAGAAAAAAAGTTAGATGATTTCACTTCTATGGCACAATTATAAATGATGAATTTCTACTACATACGCGCACATACACACACATAGGGAAGCAGAATCTGAAATAATAATTCAACTAAAATTTCCAACCAATTATTCCACCAAATGATGTGAAATCAAATGCAGTAAAAAGATTATGCTGTCAGATATTGAAGCACACGTGTTTTTCAGCAACATCATGGAAGATGGCTTCACAGAAAGATAGGTGACAAACAGTGTCAGATTTGCTGTAGTAACCTTAAAAGCACTCCCGACTTGGTGTGTCCTTGCATACTGTCTAAAAATGTCTACAAGACCATAGAAATGGCCAACAATATCCACAGGAAGCCAGGCAACAGTAGCAGTTAACAAGAAGTGGAACGAGGACACCCTCAATACCAAAACTGCAAAAAAACTCCAAATATATCCATGACCTGGAATCACTTTCCCACTGCCATAATGTAGTTCCCCCACATTTTTTATAAATACTTTCATGGTAATTGTTCTGATAGTTTTCCTCTATGGTACCTAGACATTATGAATTTAAGTCCAGTAGTAGATTGACAGCAAGGTCTCATCGTTTTACAGGTGAAATGGCTAGATGCAACTGTAAGTTCCATGCTAACAGTTTCTTCTCTTCCAGCTTCTTGCTTTCCAATCAAATTTGACCCCTAAAAAATTTAAATGCATTGTCAATTGTTATCTTCTACCTTCTTAATTCCTGTTCTTTTATTGTTCTCTCTCTTTAATATTATTTTCATTTTCTTATATTCTGTCAGACTCAGTAACCCCTTACATATTAGTGCTATTATTGCCTTGCTTGAGGTGAAATGATTTAAAAAAATGTATATGATAGCTGCTAAGTTAAAGTAGTTCCTAAGATTGTCAGAACAGTCAGGCATGATGACCTGGGCCTTAAATCATACAACAGAAATCTAGAAAAGATAATTGTTAGGTACCTCAGGAATCCTAGGTCCACTGTTGAAATATTCTCTGAGGAGACCATCACAGTTTTGAAAATCCCAAATAAGAAGTACCTTGTAAAATATCAAATAACCACTACATTGTAAAATCCCAAATAACCACTAACTTGTAAAATCAACAATTGATGTCAAGAGTCTCCTCAGAACCAAATATCCAGCTCAGGTCATGTTTATCCTTTATATGCTATGTCCTTTCAGCACATGAATGATCATGGCTCTTGTTCCTTGTAGCTCTATGAAATATTTGACTCACTGTCTCTACTCTGCTATTGTTATATTCCGTGCTAATAGGAATATGGAATGGACAAACATGGTGGATAATTAGTAACAGGTTTATTGTAGAAAGCAGTACAACAAGCAAGAAAGTAATAGTTATGCACATGGTCATCACAAGTCAGTACAATTGTGTGCATGCTGCTATCGGAAGGCCACTAGTTCTCGCAGATCCCAGCTTGATTGTCCTGTCCTCACAGATACTTATAAGTGGTTACCACTTATAGTGCCACCACTCATGGGGGTGGCAGGTTATTCCATCAAATCAGCTATTCATTCATACAGACAGATTTGGTAAGTTGCTGTTAACTTTAACCACCACTTCCTTCAATATGTTTTGTGAAGAATTAAGTTTTCCAAGCCCTCATCCTCCCTCATGCATTGCAGAATTGCCTATTTTCTTTATAACTTCCCCATTCTGACCATCTCTCTTTAGAATTGTATCCCTGTCACATTCAGTCTCTTCTTTGTTTTTAAGAAAATCATCCAATATTCACTGCCATAAAGAAGTATATATGTGACATAATAGTTCAGCATTCTTTTCGTTTCCTTGTAATAAAATTTTCTTTTGCAAGTATAGCAGATAGAAACATATTTGAACATGTATTTACTTGTGTCTTGTTCAAATGTTCTTTTTGTCAGTTCAATGTATCATGGCATTGAATTCATTAGTCATTAGCTCTATATTTGAGTTATGCATGAAGCATCTATCAGGAGGCGGTTTGCACAGAATTTCTACCATGTGTATGATGATCAATTTAGTAAGGTATTGTGAAACCTTGTGAGATCTCAAATAATGCATCCACAGAATAAGGCATGAAAAATATATATATATATGAAATGGACAAAGTCTGATAATTATTTAAATATATTTTATTGTTATATGTTATTTATATAGACACAAATATTTAAGTAAATGCTCTGTTTATAATAAACAGTATTAACAATATGAACATCCGAGAAATTTTCATAGAAAATATGTGTCACCTGACAGGAATTATATCTGTATCATACACAGAACCGTCATATAGCCTGAAAATTTCTTGTACATTCAGGCCGGTAAAGGTTGTTAATACTGTTTATTATAAACAGAGCATTTACTTAAATATTTGTATCTATATAAATAATGTATAACAATAAAATATATTAAAATAATTGTCAGACTTTGTCCATTTCATAGTGTGTGACGTCATTTGTTATACTTTGAGCAGATATGATCATCTGAAGGAAATCATGGAAGATTGTAGTTTAAAAGCAGTAAAATTGACCTTGCTAACCAGACTTTCCTCTGTAGCTAAAATGGTGTAGCACATCAGGCTATATTATTGTTCAGTGTAGGATACAGGTTTGATTCCTGTTGGAGGACACATATTTTCTATGAAAATTTCTTGGACATTCAGGCTGCTAAATGTTGCTAATACTGTTTATCATAAACAGCATTTACTTTTGTGTCTATATAAATAACATAACAATAAAATATATTAAATATCTATCTATATATATATTATTTAGTAAAAGTTCTCAATACCAGGGAGAGAGCATGTGTATCTATAGAGATAAAAATGGACACTGAGGTCAACACAGAGTTGTGACAGTCTGTTTCATGAATGCAGTCTTCAAAGAATATATGATTTTAAAGAAGTGAACTACAGTAAATGAGTATGCCAGTAAATGAATTAAGTGAAAATGACATCTTCTAATACAAAACACTTCCTTAAGAAAGGATAGGAAAGTTCACTGATAGGGGTTTCCCATCATGTACCATTTCTAATAGTAAAAATAGAAATATATTTAAACATGACATTTAGTAGGATATAAAGACGTCTACAAATGTGTTTAGTGTCATCTCACTGTGTGACGGTATTGAGCAATAGTGTTCATTAGTCATGAGTACTATATCTGAGTTAGTGTTAAAGCAATGCTCAAATAATTTATTAAGATATTTTGAAACCTCGTGAGCACCAAAAAAATACACTTTTGTGTTCAAAATACAAGTGAGAGTGAGTGCATGATTAAATTATTTCCTTCAATATTTATTAAAAAAACAAACCAAGAAACAGAGTGTCTGTAAATGGAGTGCGAAAAGATCAAATGGTGAAACAAAATATAAAATTGGTTGTATAATTGCTGACAAAGATGTAAATGTAAATATATGAAATGATCATAGAATAGTAGTTTGAAAGCCAAATTTTTCTTTAAAACTGAGAGAAAATAATTCTCAGAAATAAATCGTAACCTAAGAAGCTTGGCAAAAAAGCCATTGGATTTCAGGTAGAAATCTAGAACAGATTCCAGGCTTCTTGGAATCATGAAAAGAACAAAACTATAATTTAAGAAGCTGAAAAGATAGCAAGGAAAATATGTGCAAATAATAATAACAGAAGATAATATAAAAAGTCAATACTAGAACTGACTAAAAGGCTGGTTTTAAATATGAAGAGAATTAAAACTGAAAATATAGAATCAAAGTAATCAACAAAAAAACATGACATGAAAAAAATGTAGAGCTTGAAACATACCAGATCCACAGTCAATATAGATATGCAGCAATTGCTTGTATCAAAAGAATCAAGAAAGTTATTAAATATAGAAACAAGATAGCCAATGAATACTATGCAAACCTGTATACTTCAAAAATAAAAAATACCAGCACACTGGGAGTTAGTAGTAGTGATTTTTAGGAAATCACAAATGAAATAAGGTTTTTGCTTGAAAATTTAAAATATATAAAAACATCAATTAAATATGGCATAGTAACAGACCTTTAGAAAAATGGAAGAGGAGAATTTCAGTGAGGAGTAGCAAAACTGTTTACCCAGTGCATTCAGAAAACTTAAAATAATAACTGCTTTATAAAAAAAATAAAATAAAATGGGGGGAGTACATATGGCCCTATTACATTTGTATCAAATACTCAATAAAATTTTACCATGCAAACAAGCAGGTTTTACAAGTGACTACTCAATAATAGACCATCTACAGACAATATATTAAATGATAGAAAGAAAAATAGAATCCAACAACTCACTTTTTTTAGCTTTTGTTGACTATGGAAAGACATTTGACACAAGGAAACATAACTCATTATGAAAGAAGAGTATTAAAAGAAATATTTAAATATTACTGAGAATATATAGGATAGCAGTAATACAATGAGTGGACTATACAAAGACTCAGGTCATATAAAGACTGGAAAAAGACTTGAAAGTATCTTCTTTTGAATGTATTGGATTTGCTGGTGACATTTTACTAATATTAGAATCATCAGACAAATTAAAATAAATGCTAGATTATTTAAACAGAGAAAATCTTAACATAGGTTCAAAAACAAATAGAAATAAAAGAAAAGCAATATTTAATTGTAACATTTAAAAAAGAATTGTAATAAAATAGAAAAAACTGGAAGTGGGGATGATGAAAAATTCTCCATCTACTCAAGAGTTTCAAAAGAAATTTTTGTTTCATTAGCTTTGGGGAGGTAGATCAGGCTGAGAAGTTTTCAGCACTATTTTCCATAATGATAGGATAGAAAGCATTTAATAAGAATCATTAAGATAGAATTAAAATAATCAATGGACTGCTGAAATTCATTACATAATAATATAAAAAAGAATTTAATTTTGTTTTCTGACAATGAGCTGATCCCAAGGTTGCTGGATTAAAGACGTTCAACCTGTTAAAGCAATAATCAGAATTCATTTAATCACAATTACATCTGT